ACCTAGCCCTGTAGACTTCGGACTGATTTTGAGTTCCATACCCGAGTTCTAGAGCAACTACCAGTGCTCTATAGTTGTGTCTGTCGTCTGCTGACAACTGTACAAGTATTTCCAGTGGTTGTCCCTTCAGACTCGTTGCCATGTACACTGCTTTCTGCTCCTCTGTCCATCCATTCATTTCTGCCAGGAGCTCAAACTGTGCTCCATATGCCTCCCATCGAATTCCTGTGGCGTCCTTTGTACTAGATGACCCCTATTGCTGACACTCATGTATGAAATGTGACTTCTGGCAGGACTGAAGATGTCTGCATTAGGGTTTAGCTGCAGGATCTGGAAGGGGCTTCCAGTTGTCTGGGGCTGATTAGGTCCATGGCTAGTATATCCTCCCTAGATATTTACTAATCTTTTCCATTTGTGTATACTGGCCTTTTCTCAATAGTTGAAAACTTTCTTCTTGTTTATTTTCTTTCTCCTCCTAACACTGCTGTAGTCTCTCTTGTTTATTTTGCTGTTCGAGCTGCCACTGGTGCTGGTTTTCTTGCCACTGCTGTTGTCTCTCTTCTTGTTTCTTTTCTTTTCCTCCAACAACTGCTGTAATCTCTCTTCTTGTTTTTTTTCGCGTTTTTCTTGTTTCTTTTGCTGTTCTTATATTGCTGCCATGAAATCTGCTAATCTGTAGTTTGATTTGCCACTTCTTGTTTCCATCTTCTTCTCTTTTTTCTTTTCCATTCCACTTCTGACACCAATTTGTTACATCTCTGCTCGTTTGTTAATTTCCGGTATAAATTCTTTCTGAGGTATTTCAGCGATTCAAGTCCCTTCTTGATTAAAACTAGTTTATTCTTTTTCAATTCAACTTTGTAATACACAGAATTTCCAATCAGTACGTTAGACTTAACTACTTTTACAACACATGCTATAAATCACAGTGATTCACACACTTTACTTACTGTGCCTACTGTTCACTTGACTCAATTATCTATTTCTTCAATCTATCTTTTCGATCTATCTCTTCGACCTATCTGCTGATTTGTTTTTATCGCCAGGCTTATATACTAAAAAAGAGGGCGTCTAGCAAACACTCGGACATTCGCGGGGGTTCCTCGATAATTTATGATCCTTTGAAAAACTCCAGCGCGCATGCTCCCAGCGTCGCGTGACTTCCACTGTCGTAACAGTTAGTATATAATCCTGGCAGAGAAAAGCCAGGGGATGATAAAGCAACAGTAGATACGGCGAGCTTCGGATAATTTACATTTCTGTTTAGAGCTAGTGTGTGTGTTGCACTCGTAGAGAGCAAATGTATCGAGATTGTGACTCGCTGTGATTTATAGCGTTTATTATAAAAATTGTTAAGTTAAAGTGACGAGAAACGTACTGACTGTGGAATTACTGTGTACTAAAAGTTTGTATCGAGAAAAAATAAACTGGTTTGATCAAGAAGGGACTTGTATCGCTGAAGTTCCTCAGAAATAATTTATACCGGAAATTAACAAACAAGCAGATACGTAACAACACATATATAGAAATAATAACACAGAAAGAAGGAATACCATCTCATACACATAGTAAATAATTATTAATTGTCTACCCATAAAAGTTTTAGAAGAAATTCATTTATTTTTGGTTCGAAGGAATACAAAGTATACTGATGAAAGGATTACGACACTTGTGATGAACAATATTAGTTATTCATTAAAAATGACACACATAAACATTTCGGAATTCCATAGATTCCATTTCGGTATCTAGAGCAAAATATATAGAATTTACATTAATCTTCTACCCTCTTCAGAGAGAATGCTAGAACTTGTAGACTCGAGCCAACATTTTACTGGCAATGCGTGCGCATCTGCTGTGAATACTGGGTTTCCGCCTATGTTATTCAAAATTTAACTATTCATCCGAATACCGCACTTTGTACTATTTGTGGGTAAATTGGTGTTGAATTGGAAAAAATGTGTTTAGTTAAGTTAAAAAATCTCCTAGATCTTTAAATTCACCTAAAAAATACACGATATTTGTTTTACATAGTTTGAAAGATAATTTAAATGAAATATTTAAAAACGTATTTCATGTTTCTGTTATTCATAAAAATACTAATTAAGTCGAATTTAGACCCATCTCTAGTACTACCACTAATACTAATTATATTTTTACCAAGGGAAATTCAAAGTGAATCTGAGTAGTTTATTTACTCAGTAATATTTTGTTTTCCATTTTTAATTTTTTGCTATTACTATTAGCATTAACCAGATACGAAGTATTTCTAGTTATGTTTTTTATTCTATGTATAAATTATTAAAAATAAAATTACGTACCTACTTGAAACGGAATACGATTGTTTTTTAACATTTAATTTTAGCTTTGAAGTTGACTTGAAATTGAAGTTTAACTGTTTAAGTTGAACGGCTCAGACGAGTTTTTACGAAAATTCAAAACTTGAAAACGCATATTCTACAAATAAATGTTAAAAAATGACGAAATAAAATATTTTATACTTAGCCTAGACAACAACACGAATCAGTTTCTTAATCGAAGTAAAATTTAGTTTTAGTTATTAGTTCTAGTAGTACAATTTGCAGTCAACTAAATAAGCATGACAATTACACATATTTGCTGTTCAAGAAATTATTTCAGTATTTGCAGTTTTAAATGTTTAAGTTGAAACTTTGTAGTTTTTACACATTTATTATGTTCAATTAGGTGATATGTGTTAAGGTGGTTTTTCAAATTAGGGGTTTTGGCCCAAGTGTTTTGTTAAATCATATGATATTAACATTATTGTCTTGGTTTTATTCCCAAGTTCTTGATTAACTTAATCAATTAATGTACATAGGTTAGTATTTTGGCCTGACCCCTAGATGGAGAATAAATGTTAACTATAATTTGTTTGCTTTAACTCAATAAATCTTAGAACTTAAGAAAGAAAGTAAAGAAAAATCAAGTTTATCAACCACACTATATCTGCTATATCCATTGATGATGAGGCTTTTCATTCAATGCCAGGGTTGTTCAAGTCAGTTTGGATATGATTGACACAATAGTGGTTGAGAATATCTCATTAGAATTTATGAACAACAACTTATGGTGTGAACTAGATTAAGTTGGTGAACTGTTGTTTTTATTAATCTTATATTGATCATTTACAAGTCTGAATTAGGGTAAAGATTAATAATACATTTATTTTAATATTAACTTTTATGTGTGTTAACTTTACTGGTTATTCAGAAGAACTGACAAACAAGTAAGCCAGTGTTATTGAAATATTAGCTGGAGTACCCTGGGCGGAAGCTATATAAATCCATGATTAACAAAATGTTATATTAGGACATGAAAAGTTGCTTTCCTTATATGTGATTGTAAAAAATTGCAACACAGAAAATGTGAAACCACAAATTTGAATGTATCTCCGCATGAACCCAACAAATCTTCAAGCCAGATTTGGTGAAGATCCATCAACAGGGGATGAAGTAGTGGTATAAAATGCTCATAAGAACTGCAGAATGCAAAACTGAAAATTTGTATGGACCTAATAAGCCTGCATACCAATTTTGGTGAAGATACACTCACACCCTTTGAAGTAGTTACATGGACATACAACAGACAGTACTATTATTATACTTGTATAGATTATTGGTTAAATGGTGATGCATTCTACAAAAGTTTATGAAACTTGTATGTTAGATTACCATATGTTTGTTTATTAAGGTCACTTGAGAAAGTAATGCTCAAGACATTCATGAAACAGTCAAAAAGAGCAAACAATTGTTGTTTCTGTATAGCTTTCCTGTTTAATTTTTAATTCTTAGTCTTGTACTAGTTACTATATATTCTTAGCAATTCTTATCACTAGTTGAAAGTAAAAGGTAACTTAAGAACCAGTTAATTAACTTTGCATGGCCTATTAAAAGTATTTGTACAAAATTTATTGGACATTGAAATTCTGTGATGTACACAATCAAGATAAAATAGTATGAGCAGGATGTTTATGTATGTTCAGAAGAACTGGTGGAGTTGCAGGAACTGGCTCTACTGAAGCCAAGGTAGAAATATAATTTGTTTGCCTGCACAGAACCAACCTGAGTCTGAAGTTTTTGTCGAAAAGTTTTTTTTTAAGTAATAAATTCATCTAAAAATATATTTTCTAAACACGCTTGAACTTGTTGCTGATCACTATTATTGAAGTACTTACTGTCTAGCTGCTATGTTATTTACTGTCTAGATGCTATGTTACTTACTGTCTAGTTGCTATGTTACTTGCTGTCTATTTGATATGCTACTTACTGTCTAGTTGCTATGTTACTTGTGTCTAGTTGCTATGTTACTTGTGTCTAGTTGCCATTTTTTCTGTGTTTTCCTTTTATTTTTCATTTGTAATGATATGTACATAGGGTAGGCCCCTTGGATTGACTGTATTTGAAAATTAATATTTAATGTAATTATGAATTGTAATGTCTATCTTCACCAAAACTGCAAGCTTTTAGCAAGTATAAAAAGTCCGTTGCAGAAACAAAAGTAGAATTTTCAATGAAGTATTTTTACTAAAGATTTGTCAGTGAATTTATTGAGTCAGTTTGACTGAGACTTTGACTAGCCTGAGTACAAGGTGGTTTTCATGTCGAAAATACAAATACTTTTTCATCTTGTATTTTTCACTTGAATAACCATAAGAACATCCAAAACTAATAACAAAAGATTTTTTTCAGTAAACTATATTATGTTATTTTATGTATCCGAAATAACTAGTGAAATCAGCAATGTAAGGTAAAATGAACAGTTTTTTTTCGTTCTAAAATAACTACATATTGTAATAGATTATTACACACACACACAATGTATTCTTACAACCAAAGCTATTAGACCTTGCATTTAGTTTTGGTGCTTTACATTTGCACTTAGACCTTATCAGGGTACAGCCAATCTATTGATTACATAGGACATCTATGTATAAACAAAGAGTCAAGTAAATGGCACACATCATCAAATTAATCACAGTCATGCATTGTGATGTGTAGTGTGTGTAATATCACAAGTTATTAGAATTACTTTTTCATTAAACTTTTTTACCTCATCTAACTTTTACATTTTAGTTATTTTTTAACAGCAAATAAACATATACTAAAAACAAGAAATTTGGTACTTACTTTATCTAGACCACTTTTTTTTTGCCATCCATAAGATGAACTGTAACCATACTTTATTTAAAACAGTGTTGGTGTACCATACTGTTAGTTTTAATTTCATATAAGCAACTTAAAACAAATAATTGCAACAAAAAATAATGTCCTAAAATCATAATTTAACTGGCATTATAATTAAGTTGTAAAAAGTTTTTAAAGAATTCTGTTACTTGGCTGATTCAATGTCCATATTGTCAAACAATGAAACAGGCTGAACATTTCAAATCTGTCAGCTGAACAAGCTAGTCTAATAGAAAATTCAGCCAAACCAAATATTCTCCACATATAGGTTATTAATAATCCAGTAACATATGTCAGAAAGAATTGAATGTTTTTGAAATATTGGATGTGATAGGAGGGATATGGCATGGGATTCTGACATCTTCCTTACATCTAAGTACAACGAGAAGCTTTAAGGCTAGAATTTACTTTGTATCATAGCATCATTTACAGTACAAGTGATTTATGCCAAATTCGGATGATCAGCTCATAGCTTAAAGTGAATGGGTGATCTTTCCTCATGGGGGAAGAATACATTAATCTGGGCATCATAGAGTTAAATAGGTTACTGATTTTTCACAGTCAATTAAAACAAAAATGCAACTAAGAAAAAGGAAATAAAACAAATAAAATATCCTGACTATCACAGGATTTTTTTCTTGGGGAGAATTTGTTTTATTTAGTAATCAACATGGTGAAAGTTAAGCATACTTTGTGCCAGTAAGGTGTTAAAAACAAATCATTTCTTGTGTTAGTAGCCAAAATAAAATATAAAGTCCACTGTAACATTTGATTATTATATAGACCTGCAGATGATGTTAACTGCATATGACTAATGAATGATCATTGATTTCACTTGTTAACTGATGCAAGTATAAACTGGGTTATAGAAGTAGTAATATAAAGAATTACAGTTGAAAGTACAACAAGACAACACTGATAGTTATACATTATCCTCTAGGTCTGTTGACACAAGACAAGATGGAAGATGATCATTTGTTTATGGTAGAAAAGTAAGTATTACTTTGAATATTGTAAGGTGTTATTAGTGAAACAACTTGAAGCATCTTTAATCTTTGAAAAGCAGGTTAAGTACATTATATTGAGACTGTTTTGGAGCTTTACCACATCATTATTGTCCATGCCTCCACTTGATAAAGTTAAGAAAAGAGCCTAAGATTATAATTAAAGTGTGGGTTGAAACTTTTTTGAAAATTCAGTTTTCAATTTCTCTTGGTATGAATAATTAATTATGCTGAAGATGACCTTAAAATGTTATAATTGAAGGGATATGGCATGCGAGTTTGGCTTTCTTACTTATATCTCAGTAAAGCAAGAAGCTTGAAAGCTATAAGCTTACATTATGACTTAACCTTGTTTACAGTACAAAAAGTGATTTGTGCAAAACCCAGATGATAGCTACTAGATACAGTGAATGGGTGATCTTTCCATCCATACATGCTAATTACTGAAGTAAAGTACTTTTTGTAACATATTTAGTCCTTGCTGTTTGTTGCACATTTGAAATGATGTCTAAACATGTTAGACTTCTGAGAAATCTGACTGACACTATTTAACTGATCAGTTGTGCACAAGTGTGTTTAAATTAATTGTAACAAGCCACATAGAAGACATTCAATATCTTTCTTACAGGGACTGAAGTCCATCAGATATTGGTTCGAGGAATAGAGGAGGTGAAAGAAGAGCTGAAACATGTAGAAAAGCAGGTGAATCCAAGTTATGTTTGTAAGTGCTAATTTGTTTTATTGTTTTACTTCGAAATAGTCTGTAAGCAGTTGTTATTTTAAGATTTACTCACAAGAAATTTTTTCAAAATGTAAGATGCCACGTATTCTATATTTTATTTTTTGCTTTGAACTGTTGAATTCAGTATTAAGATAATTGTAAAAGGTGTCCCAATTTAAGTTAATGATAAGATATAAGTTGAGACCATCCAATTTATTACATGGTAAAGGCATATTTTTCTTTAACGACTCCATAAAAAAAAAGTTGTAAAGAGTCATTTGATGCACAGTCTTACCAGGTAATTAATAGTTAATTATGTTTAAAATGATCTTGAAATGTTTTAATTTTTCACCATACGAGGTGTAAGTAGATTCTGCTACTGCATGTAATATTTATAGAATTCATACAGGATATGGAACTATTAATAGTTATGTGATTCCGAAGTGTTTTTTATCCAGGCCATGAAAGTAATAGAATTTTGTAAACCATCAATTAAAATTAAAGTTTTATCTAACTAAAGCTTTGTGGTCTTTTGAAGTCAGTTAAATAAGTATATTTAAGAAAAATAGAATATAACAGACATATCCTGATTATTGGAGGATTTTTCTTACTGAGTTGGAATTTATTTTATTTAGTGATGAAACTTAAGCTAACTTTTGGCTGTAAATTGTTAAAAACAAAATCTTTTGTGGATTTGTAGCCAAAATAAAATATAAAAAGTCCATTTTAACATTTGTACATTTTATTGTTATGGATATCTGCAGATGATGTTATTGCATATGACTGATGAATGATCATTGATTTCAGTTGTTAACTGATGTTAGTACAAATTGAGTTACAGGAATGTAATAGGAATAAGTACAGTTAAAACTATAACAAGATAACACGTTATCCTTTAGGTCTGTCCATCGAATAGAAAATGAAATTTCAAAACTTGTTTGTTGGAAAAGTAAGTATTACATTTACTATTGTAAAATGTTATTAGTCAAGCAGAGATGAAAGTGTCCCTTTCCTAAAAATCCTGAAAATAATCAAA